CAGCATCCAGAAGGAACACAGACTTGCCAGCATCTTGATTCTTGTCCAGTGAGACTTCTGATGTTTAACATTGGGAGATAATAAATGTTTATTGCTTTAAGCCACTAAGTTTGTAGTTACTGCTTACAGCTGCAATAAGAAAGTAACAAACCTCTTCCGAAGCAACTTTCCCTGAGCCGCGATGGGCCTCTCAAGCCTGCAGCAGCTCTGAGTGGTTGCTCTGCTTGCCTTTCTGCTGTTTGTTTTGTCTTCAGGGCTCCGGTGATGTGCACGCTAGTGGTTACCTGCATGTCCTTTATAGTCTATAATTCTACAGTTTTTCTCAAATTCTTAACTTTTTCTTTATTCCGTCTCATTTTGTTTTGTGCAAAACCTAGGTAGGTCCCCTTCTGAAATGTTTACTTTTATTTTCATTTAAATGAAGAGTTTTTTTTCCCCTCCTAATTTCCCAAGTTCTTGTAGCTAATGTTGACATTTCCTGTATTGTCTGTCTGTAGAATTTCTGTGTTAGGGGTTCTTCACCTTCAGCGAGTGGATTTTTGCTGGCTCTTTGTGAACCTGGCTGCTTCCAGGCCTTCGTGCCATTTTCTTTGCTGCTTCTCTTCACTTCTATGCTCAGCTTCGGTGTGGTCTCAGTTGCTTTTGGCGTCCGTCACAGTTATTTTGGAGAACACGTATCTGTCTGTTTCTTTCATAGGACCTACAGGAGGTAAAAGAGGAGAGACATAATTGCCACAGCCATGTTAAGAGTGGAAGTCTTTTGTTTATTCTGCTTTTTAATATCATGATTTCATAGAGGCAATGATGAGATTGACTTTTAATCTCGCAGTAGAATTTAATAATGCATTTAAGGCTTCGTGGAGCTGGGAAGTTTATACTTTATCAAGGTACATCTATGTTTTAGCTGTTGACTAACAAAAATAAGCGTTAATACTCTTGGAATTTACTTCCAAATTCTTCAGTATCTGCTGTAAGGAGTGATGCATGCTAGTTTAGAAAATCTTTCTACAGAATAAGCATTTAGTGCATGTTTTCTTGTTATTAGCGTTTATCTGTGGGCTAACTAGCAAGCTGAAAATCTAAGTTTTAAGATGTAGACACATAACACTTACACTTACATTTATAATTACTTTAGCTTTAAATTAGTCTTTTAGCATATTTTCTTAGATTCAAAGTTCATTCAGCAGCACATACTGATTGAGTACATACTATATTTGGAACTGAACCGTACATGGGCCCCTTCGTCCTATGTGCAGTGAAGCCAATCTACTGACACCAGGTTGTGGTGAAGGAAAGTACAGTGTTTATTACAAGGCCAAGCAAGGAGAATGGGCAGCTTGTGCTCAAAAGACTTGAACTCCAGGATGACTTTCGGGAAGGGTTTTTAAGGGCAGACTGTGAGGGAGAGGGTCTCAGGGTGAGTGATCAGTTTGTGCACTCTCTTCTGATTGGTCGGTGGTGAGATAATCAGGTGCTGTGTCAGCAGTCAACATCATCAGCTTTTGGGTTCCAGTGGTCTAGGGCTACGTGCTGGTGGTCAGCACACAGTCGACCTTCTTCACCTGGTGGGGCTTTTGGTATCTGCAGAACAGCTTGGGAATGTGCACCAGACTTCCCTTCACCTTTGAAACTGAACTGGAAGCCCTTGTGACTAACGGACTGTTTAACTTACAGCTGCTCTCCTGCCTGACTGTCCTTTCTGTGTCTCTGCATTCTCTGCTTTCCCAAACATTAATTGGCAGGGCTGTTCTTTGTTCCAGACGGAGGGCTTAGGAAGTCATGGTGTGTCTCCATAACTGCTTTTCCTAGTCAGCAATAAGCAGGGACACAGAGGGGTCTGTCACTGGGAAGGCCCCTACGTGCACCTGCTCAGGTTCATGTGCTGGGCTCTACTCTTGGCATTTGGGTTTACAGCTATGACTACAGCTTAGTCATTTCCTTGGCCTAATGGAGTATAATCTGTGTGTGTGTGTGTGTGTGTGTGTGTGTGCGCGTGCATGTGTGTGTATACAGGGGTGGCGGGGGAGAAACCCAGACAGTACATAAAAACAGGCCAACGTGTACTGTCTCTATTTCCAGCAAGATAGGATGAAATGCCAAAAGCAAATATCAAGAGAAAATAAGAATATCATCGTAATATTTGTTTTTCTCTCTATCCTGACAATACAGCCATGGAATTTGGTACAGACTGGCTCACTAATTTTATAGATAAGCATGGTGTCCAGAAGTAGGGGCTCAATTTAAGGTACTGGTATTGCAAATTTTTTTTTCAGTCAGTAAATATCTCTGATTGGAATACAAAGAAGCAGTTTTAGAAATATGTGTTTTGCTTCCATTCAGGAGTACCTATTGTCTCTGTGATAGGGGTGTTTCATTTCCTGGAGTTTCAGTAAACAGGTAGTAAATGCCTTCAAAATACAGCGGAATGCTCATGACTGATTGCACAGTACACCACCATCCTGAAGTATTTTATGTTTAAAGTTGAGTTAATTCATTTAATAAATATTTGCTGCATCTGCTGTGGGCCAGTCATCCTTTTTAGCCTTGGGGAAATAGGAGGGAACCCAACATAAACCATCCCCGGACTCAGAGAAGTTAGCATCTAAAATGTGTAGGGCTGGAAGGGAAAAAAAAGCCCTCTGTGGCCAGAACATCAAATAAGTGTCTTTCCTACCGTGAAAACAGTCGCCTTCAGTCATCAGCTTGCCTCTGACAGCAACCACAGCCATGGTATTAATTCCTCCTCATATTTCCAGACACTACATTAAAAAATGCTTTGGGCATATGATCTTATTTAAGCAGAATTTAAAACTATGTTATTATCATCTTTTTTGCTGAAATGATGTTACATCAAAACAGGTGATGGTGCTGGAGGTTTTCCATTTCAGGAAAAGTTTTCTCTGAGACTCCTTTGGGAAGAGCACACAGCTGGGAGCTCTCACTCTCCCTGGGAGCACAGGAGAGGAGTGGGGGAGGTCTGTGAGGTCCCCTCGCCCTCCCTTCTCCCCGTCCACGCCCACCCCCAGACCCTCGAGCTCCCCTCTCTCCCTCTGTGAGATGTGAGCCTGGCCGGCTGCCTTAAGGACTTGCTTTATTTTAACTTGAATTCACAGTGTAATTGTCTTTGCTTGATCACTTCTGGCTCTTCAGGCCTCAGAAATATTCAGAAAATCTGTGGTTCTTGTTTTATAGGCTTCCCTTGGGAATCCTGTTTGGTTAAAGGTCAAGTACAATGGTTTGGCCCTGGGGGCACCATTGGAGTCGGCCCTTACACTGAACTGTTGTATTTGTGAACCTGAAAACGCTTCTGCCTCCGTCCTCCGGGGCCTCCTTGGGAGAACCCACAGGGCGAGATTTCCTTTACAGCCAATCGGGGACAAGTTGTTCTCTTCCTGAGCTTCTGGCATATCATCCTGTACACTCTGAATTTTAGTACTGATTTTGTTTCTCTTCTAGTTATGACCAAGGTGAAGTCTGGGGACACGTGTGGCCAGCGCTGCCAATTACATAGGAGTATTTTTAATATGATTTTAGACTATTCTCTTCTTACATTACCATTTCCCTAATTGCATCACTTATTTTTATACCATTTTACTTATAACCCCAATTTCCCAGTCTCTAGCCTGAGAGTCCACTGTTTATGCCAGTTTTTACACAACGTGATGGTGACAAATCTGGTGATCTTTGCCTGTGAGTTCATGGGAAGTTTGGCTTACTTTCTCAGTAGGTGTTCTGGCTTTGCCATTTGAGCCCCTTTTGCTGCCTTGTTTCTTTGGCCACTGTCTTCTCTCTGCCTCTTTGAGTACAGTGGCTCCCCCGTCACTCCCCAAGTGAAGTCTGAGGGCTGCTGGAGGAGAATTGGTGTATTGAGCGGAAGCCACTTCAACTTGAATATTTCAGACAGTTCTCATAAAGGGCCCTGACTGTGTCCCAGTAAAGATCAGGTCTTAGTAACTTTTCTCTCTCTCCGTAAGTTCTGTTCAGTTGCCTTGGTCAGGAGGGCGCTGGCTTTCTCCTGGTTCTGTTTGCTAAAGTCTCCACAAAAATCTCCCTCCTCTCTGGGCACTAGAGGGGAGCCACATTTACCACCCTAAAATGTATCTCTTTGGTGTGAGGATCTAATTTAGGCTGATTATTTTTAATTATTATTTTTAAGAAGACTCAGGAAGTTTTTCTTGTTACCTCCCTCCTTAACTGACCAAAATAGTTTAGATAGAGGGCTTGGTCCTGGAACAGAGCCATCACCAGAGACATCTGCGGAGAATATGGGCCAAGGGTGGTGGGGGAAGCTCGGGCAGGGCCTAGGATCAGAGTCCCCACCCTGGGTCCCGCTGACTCTGGTGGCCTAGGAAACATTTGCTTACCACACTTTTGCTTTTCCATCTCTTGGTGAATTGCCTTCCTCCTCTTTGAATTCCCAAGCCGCCACTCATAACATCCTTTTTTTGTCTTTAGCTGAAAATGGTATTCAAGCTGAGGGCTTTGGCACAGAGCTTAGTGTTCCTGGGGCTCTCCCATGTACACCTGTTGTTCAACTTTTGTTTGATTTTCTCCTGTTAATCTGCCTCATGTCATTTTAATTCTTAGACCAGCCAGAAGAACCTAAAGGGTAGAGGAAAATTTCTTCCTCCCCAACAGAATCAAAGAAAACCCCCAAAATCTCTGTTGGTCTGTTATTCAGAGACATTCTGTCCATTTTTTGCTCCAGGCTTTCCCATCCAGACCAGCCTTTATTATGAAAGTTGCTGAATACAGAAGAACTAGAAAACCCCGACATTTCACATGAAGTGTTTGCTTTCAAGTTCCCGTATCTGATATTTGACTGGAAAAGTATGTCACTGAGGCTGAGAAACCACTGGAGGACTGTGATTTCTCTTTGTTTCCTCTTTGTTTTTAAAGATGAAATTCTCTAAGTTTCAGACTTAGTTTAGCAACTAAGTGGAAGTCAAAAACTGCTTTTCTCAGTGTTTTTTCCTTATAAATCATTCTCTTCATTGTAGGAGCTTACACATTTGTTCCATGGCTTCTCAGCTTTAAGAGAGGAAGAGCCCTCGAAGAAAAAGAAAATAAAATATTGGTCAAAGAAACAGGTTACTTCTTTATATATGGTCAGGTAGGTCCAACCCTAATGCTGTTGTCATTTTCCAACGCCTCCCATTTTGTGCTCACTTCTGACAAAGTTCTTTGGTTTGCTTCCCAGGTTTTATACACCGATAACACCTTTGCCATGGGACACCTAATACAGAGGAAAAAAGTCCACGTCTTTGGGGACGAATTGAGTCTGGTGACTTTGTTCCGATGTATTCAAAACATGCCTGAAACACTACCCAATAATTCCTGTTATTCAGCTGGTAAATAATAATTTTGTATAAATAGAAAGACATTCCTCAAAATACTGTGTGGTTTGTATTATCTTGAATCATAAGCTAGTCTGTGTCACTGAGACTGAGGAAATCGGCACTAACAGGTTTACCATTTTCATAGACATTTGGAACGGCAGGAACTTCACAGCAGTCAGCACCGAGAAGGATCCTCACCTGTGTCGTCTTCAACCTGTAATAACAGCAACGATAGAATGATAAGAGAGTGATTACTGCATGCCGGCCGCTTTGCCTGTAGCCCTTCATTTAATCCTCCCTGTTGAAGTGGGTGGGATCTGAAACACAGAGAGGCAGCAAACACTGTCTGAGGTTGCAGAGCTACTAAGCTCCAGAACTGGGTTTAAGACAGCAGGTCTGACCCGATTGGAAGCCATAGTGTCTCTTCTTTATTTACAACAGGAGAGATGCCTTTGGCCAGTTTGATGGTCAGGTCAAGTGGCACAATGGCTTCTCTCACCTTCCTGCAGGTGAAGTCTGGTGTGGATGGACACCAGATGGGTGATTGTGGGGTGTGGAGTGTGCGAGTCAGCCTGTATCTCAACTCAGGGCCCAAGGGATGGGGAGAAGGGGAAAGACAAGCTCTCTCAATTTCAGGTCTGTTTGGGCGGTAATTGTCAACCATTTTGTTTTGGAGGTAATTCCAGATTAATCAAGGCCAGTATATGGGGGGAAAAACCTTGCATTAAACACATTTTTTTCTCTCTGGTAATTTTTGATAAATCCATTTAGGACCCCAAGGAAGGTCTTCAGTTAGCGTGAATGACAGTGTGAAACACAAGTTTGGAGGGTAGAGTGGCTGTGCAATTTGAAGGACTGTGTTTCAAAGGCATTTACTGACAAATGCACAATGAATCTGTTAAAAAAAAAAAAAGGGAGGAAAACAATTGTCATCCTGGACCCACAGCAATAAATAGCTTTGATGGGGTGAGGAGGAAGTATGTTAAGTTGAAATTCCCTAATTTTCTTAGAGAGGTTTCCCTGTGGCCAGCGATGACCAGTATTTGGATGTTGCTAAGTATTTGTAATCGGTGCGGCCACTCCAATCTGTTATTTATCTACAATTAATACTTGGAGCTTTACAACAAAGTCTTTCTCAGATTTTCTTATCATCTGAGCATCTCACATTTACTTGGCCAGAGTTCCTAAGTACCTGACTTTTTAAGAGTAATTAACTTGACTTGAAGATAGTTCTCAATGCTGATAGGTTAGTATTTTTTACGAAAACTGTTCTTTAGGAAATTTAAGTTTTCAATTTTCATCTGTTCTAGGGCGAATTTGTTTAAAACCATTAAACACCACACATTGGTGTATAAGTGTATTAAGTGCTTTCATAATAATCTGAAAAAAATTAAAATGGTCCATTTAAGGAGCTCAGCATAACACTAAGGAACCTCTTTTGTACACAGAGCTGAATCTTCATTATTTCATTAGCAAGTTTAATATGTTTATTGTAGAAAAAGTTAGAGCTGTTATAATCTGGAAGAATTGAAAAGAGCCAGAAACTCAGTGTTGAAATCTGAAATAGAACCTACTTTAAAAAGTAGTTGGCTTACACCTTTATTTTGAGTTACTATTACTTGATGTTGTGATATATAGCCTTGGTCAAATACTAGATTATCTTCAGTCTCTATGATAATGACTAATCTAGTCAACGAATAAATTCAGTCTTTGTTTTTCCTACTTAGCATAGTCATCAAATGCTTTGCCAATCCTAGAAGGTGTACACTTTGCCCTTAACAATACCTAAACCTATGTTCTTTTGTTTGTTGTCTGTCTTAGTCCATTACAAAAAATAAGATCTTTAGAGACAGAATCTTTGTTCATTCCAACCACTGCCCCGTGCATGCCTCCGAAGGGGTCTGGTGCGTCTTACATGTTCAGTAAATAAATACCCGCTGGCTGCTGCTGGAGGAAACCCATGTGTGTTGGGTTTGACAGCGGAATAGAGGTTAACACATATGTGTTCATGTAAACCACAGCATATTAATGAAACAGTACAACTACTTTTAAAAAATTGTATTGAAATTATTGACAATTAGATGCTATTTTGTTTGCCAGTGTCTTTGTTTTATTCTCTGCCCCTCCTCCTCTTTCTTTTTCTTCCTATTTTTCTTTTAAAATGGGGTCGGGTTGACCTGATATACTGAGTGTAGTTCTTGTGTTTTGTATTCCTGAGTCACAGGATACATTATTGTGAAATAGGCACATGCAGATTTATTGGTCCGTTTTGAGAAGCTAATGAACTTTGTTGCTTTTGATTATAAAGACAAGCATGGTCATTTAAGAAAACAATATAGAAGGCTATAAAAAGGAATCCAAATGACTCCTAACCCCATAGTGTGACTCTAGAGAAAGATTATGTTAACAGATGTGCTTTGTTAATAATGTGTTTTTTAACTTTTTAATAATTTACACATTTTATATGCACATTTAAAAGTATATTTAGGACTATGCAGTTCATAAGTGTCTGTGTATTTTTTTTATTTTTATTGAACATTATTATAAAAGGTATCCTTTGTCAATAAAATGAAGCAAAACCATTTTAGCTGCATACTAGTCCACCATAGGTGATGATTTACTTAACTTTTTTTCCTCTTAAAGTTAGATATTTGGTTCCTGTTTAGAGTCTTCATTTTAGAAACAGCAGGTGATAAATCCATTTGTGTCTGTTGTAACTCTTTGTGCTCTTCCTTTTTTTTAAACTTTTTTGGTATTTTTTTGTTTTTAGACGATTAGAATTGTAACTGGTTTCCAAGTCCATGGGTGTAATTTGAAGTGTGAATGCCTCTGTTAACATTTTTTTCCAAAAGAAGAGAGTTTACTCTGATGTTCCTGCCCCTCCCCCTGGTCTGTCCTGTGGTACCGCTGCTTCAAGTCCTTGTGAATTGCTCTTTTCCAGGCATTGCCAAGCTGGAGGAAGGGGACGAACTCCAACTGGCGATCCCGCGCGAAGATGCTAAAATCTCGCGGGAGGGAGACGGCACGTTTTTCGGTGCGCTGAAACTTCTGTGACCGACGGACACCTTGTGTGTGGCTGCTTGCCTCCCTTCCTCTGCACCTCTACAGAGAAAACTCTTAACTGGAAATGCCAAAAGGAGAAAAAAAAAAAAGTGGTTATTACCATACCCTCCTCTGTGAGCTGTTTGTTTTGGTCTGCTGAAACTAGACCCAAACAGGAAATTTAACAGACAACCGCAGCCATCGGGTGTCATGTGGATTACAAGAAATAGAGCCCATTTAAGGAAAAATAGAATTAGAACGACTCCCCCCCCCCCCAGTGCCATGTTGAACAATTTAGTCATAGCTTCTGGGCTCATAGGAAGCACAGATTCAAAGGGGCCATGATCGCATCTTCTAAACGCTATTCCACTGCTTGTAGAGGAAAAGGTCCACGCCTGTAGGACGTGAAGACATTTGGGGGGAAATCTCAGGAGTCTCTCTATTTTTATGTTAAACACCAATTCTCCTTTTTTCAGTTAATACTGACAAAAACCAAAAAAAAAAGTATATAGAAATCTTGCACTCCATATATGAAAAAGTAACTAACAGTTTACATGTAAATATCATATTAAACAGTTGGACTCAAAATAGGATCTAGGTACCATGTAAGTCTTCTAGGTTTATTTCAAGTGTGCAATTTTTAGCTCTAATATTATATATTCCTCGATGGAACACTCCCAGACATTTTTCACAGGAGGGAAATAATTCTCTCATGTGTCTACATGCATGTCTATTTTTTTTTTCTAGCTGATTTCAGTTACTTCAGAAACTTTTAATGTAGGGTAATTCCACTTCATGCATACAAGCATTTATTGAAAAAAATAACAATTGTTGTATTTGTTCTTACGTAAAAGCCAAACCTGCAATAGAAGTTAATAAATACATTTGTAATACTGTAATGTAATTTACTTTTGTTGCCTCTCCTGTTTTAAACTGCTATATAGCACGGCCTCTAAAAAATACTCCTATTATTAGCTTTACAGAAGTTGGAGTTTAGTTAATGTTCTTGGCATCCTGAGTATGTTCCATATACCATGTGCTTGTTATAAAAATGATTCTGTCAGAAGACATCATCCTAACCTTCATTTTATGAAGACTCGTGTTTGAGAATCCTCTAACACTCACCCTTTATGGCACCGATTGCCCTTGCGCACCTCTTTTTTGTGTCTCATCAGTCTCAAGAGTTTATTTCATTAAACAGTTGACTTCGTTCGTTTAAACAGCAGGTGGGAGAGCAGACCTGGTCTGCTCCAGCTTTCCCCAGGTCACAGTGAAATATTTTAAAGGGACTATTTTCAAAACCAAGAGAATTATTTGTATTTTGCGTCTCAGATTACACTTTCTTTATCATTCTGATTTCTGTGATACTGGCTTTTGGGTTAAAGTCAAGTCCATTCTTCAGTTTATTTTGTTTTACAATACTATAATAAATAAAGGAGTGGTAGGTGGGGTCGGAGTTTCGGTACTAGAAGGAAGTTAGAGATTTTCTTCTGGTTGCTGCTAACGTGGATTGCCAAATAAAAATGTCAGTGCCTTTTGCCTCAGTTTTGGATTGAGTTTGTCTTACACCACTCATCTTGGCTTCTCTCCATAACACTAAACGTCATCTTAAAAAGTGAGGTTCATGAACTGGAAAACATTGTGGGGTAGTATGTGTTAGGGTCTGACAAAGCATTTGAAGTCAAATATTTTACATATTTCAAAAAGCACTTGTTCATATCAATACTAGGTATATAGTTATGGATTAACTATTTCTTAGAGCAGAGGCTAAAAAAAGATACTACTACGTTGTAACAGGTTTGCACTCTAAACTCTTGTCATTGACAGCCTGCAAACCCTTCTTTTCAAATGACTTCACATATTTTTGTCAGCAGATGTGGAGTTCAGCACCTAAAATATTCTTAAATCTTATTTTACTTTCGGTTCAAACCAACGTTAAAATGGAACTCTTAATCTTCCTCGTATGTGAAACTGTGAGGAAAATCAGGCTTTGGTGGAGTGACAGTGTGTGCAGACAACAGGAAGCAGAGTAAAGATGAGGTAAACACAGGCATGGGAGGTGGGAGGGTGGGTCTCACCACAGCAGGAGTCGCCCAAGTTCCCACTTCTCTATCTTTCCTTCCATTCATTTTAGCAGAAAAAGATGTTATCCTGGGATTTCCTATAACAAAACGTTTCTAAGGCTTAAGGATATGCACTCAGTTCAGATCCACTGCCCCTGGAGGAAGTCCCCGGGCTCTAGGTCACCGTGCAGAGAAAGTCCTCCTGTGTGGTTTGCTACAGGTGCAGCGACTTATGGGTGGAAGGACTTAATACATCCTGTTGTCACGCAGATTCTGGATCAGAAAACATGCCTCCCAAAAGCCCCAAGGAGACCCGTGCAGCCCCCTGACTTGTTTGTTTGGGTCCCATCTTGCTTTACAATTTTTTAGTTGGTTTCTAATATAAAAATCTAGACTCATCACGTGAGACAGGACACGTAAACCTCTTTCGAAAATACAGATCTCTTATTTTACATCTGGAGGGCGAGGTACGATGGCCACCCAATGCTACTGCAGATCTAAGGGTATGGCTTGGTCACGTGTTTTTACAAAGCTGACCCCCTCCTGAGGTCACCTGCCACGTCTCAGCATAGGACGTCACCGAAGCCTGTCACGCTCCTCCCCGACTTTACATAATCGCCGTTCTGACTTCCAGCCTCAAGGAAGAGCTTTAGCATCTGAACTTTATACAGATGGCACAGGACAGGATGTAATCCGAAAGATACATGAGCTCACCGCTTTGTGAAGTTCTTCCCCACTGGCTCCTGCAGCAGTAGTCAGTCCTCACTCAGTTTGTAACTGTGTCACAGTCCATTTGTCCCTTTTACTCCTGAATGACCGTTGGGCTGCTTCCGGCTTGGGACCATCATGAAGCACGTTCCTGTGAATCTTCTCTGAGAACATTTTGGGGAACCTGTGCACCTTCTGTTGGCTCTACACCTAGAAGTGGAATTGGTAGGATCCAGACTGCATGTATCCAGTTTTAGTTAATTCGTCCAATAAGATTTCTGCCTGATAAACAATTTCCGGAAAATCGAACAGGACGGGGCTATGCAAGGCCACCACTGAGGGGCTGACTTTTGTCGGCGCTCTGCAGCCAGGCACCGCGCTCTGCCTTTCTGCAGAACCCCGGACTCTCTTTGTCCCCTGTTACCTTTCTGGCCTGTCCTGGGGTCCCGGGGATTAGCGAGTTTACCCCAGGTTGTCTGTAGGCTCATTACTCTTCTAAACTGAGTTTGTCAGTGTGTATAAATCTGATTACGTCGTACAGATTCATCATGGAGAAAGGGGTCCAAGACCTCGAGGCTTCTGTCAGAGCAGCTGCTCTTTCCCGGTTCCTCTTTCCCTGAGGGTGAGGTGAGGGTGCCGCAGGCTGGCGTGGGGCAGTCAGCAACCCCAGGCACCTGACGGCCCCGCTCAGCCGCGCCAGGCCATCACGGAGTGAATGTGGTTTTCTTTTGAGCTCCATTAGGGGGCGTCTTTGAGTTCCTCCCCCCTCCCCATCGCCAAGTGGAGGAAATCGTTTGTTATGAAACAACGTTCAAGATCAATTAACAAAAATTAAAATAAAAGCATGGAGGTGTGTTAACAACCCAGTGTGAGTATCCATTTGTTGCTTATGTAGATTTAGTTTACAATCAGGCTAGCGTGGCCCTCACCAACATTCAAAATGATATATTTAGAGTAAGCAGTCCTTTTCCTGCACACTTAATTGTGTGCGTGCGAAAAGATTTTAGGCATCTTTGTTTTTGTTTTTTCTTGAGTTTTGAGGCCCTGCTGTATTTAACACTAATCACAGAGTTGGGAACTTGTGGGGTGAGTGGCCCTGTGTGATGAAACATTTGATGTGGTGTTATGATACTGAACTATCCATTTAGATCACCCTGTGACTAATAAATTTGTCACTTGAAAGGACTAAACAAATAAGATCAACAATACAAAAACTAAGATCTAGCTGGTTTGCAGAAGTGCAAGTGGATTCATTTTCTGGGTCTTACTTTTTCCATCTGTACAAAAGTTGCAATGACTTTTTTCATAAATGAATGGGCAAACTCAAAATCCATCTCAGACTATTTAGAGGAAAACACTGGTTATGTCATTACTTTTAGGTTTGTACTTATAATGGGTAGAATATAATTCATGAGAATTTTTTGACTAAAACTAATTTTATTGTATATATTACATATTATATATAGTATATATATATTACATATTGTGTATATATACAACTTTGATAAAAGCTAATAGCAGGCCAAGCATTCATCTGCTTAGGGGCTGATTATGAAGTGGTGAAATTTCATGAGGACCAGAGTCATGAACGTGGTCCCTGAGTGCAGTCTTGTTGGTGATCTGGTGTCATATCACAGCCCTGACCCCACTCTGGTGATCAGAAACCAAAAACAGAAGATTGAGCTGTTAACTGTCATCACTGGAGATCAGATGATGCTGATAGAGAGACAAGTAAAAGACAGTTACGGGGGAAGAGGGGAAATTCTTCACCTTCGAGGTCACAGCCTTGTCTAGCTGTGAATGTTTTGGATATTTTGACTTTTCATTTTAGAATAATATCAGGCTTATAAAAATATTTTTAAAAACAGTGCAAGGAAACCTCTTATACCCTCCACTTTTATTCTCCAAATATTAGCATCTCACAGTGCGAGGATGAAAATCAGTACAGTACTATTTTTTTTTAATTGAAGTGTGTCAGTTACAATGTGTCAGCTTCTGGTGTGCACCAGTCATGCATATGCACACATATAGTCATTTTCATATTCTTTTTCATTAAAGGTTGTTATAAGATATAGAACACGGTTCCCTGTGCTGTACAGAAGAAACTTTTTTCTTACATCTATTTTTATATATAGTGGCTAATATTTGTAAATCTCAAACTCCCAAATTTATCCCTCCCACCCGCTTCAGGACAGTACTTTTGATATAACCCTGTCTTAGATGTGAATAATAACCACCCCGTCCCTTATACCCACTGTAGCCAAAGACACACACACACACACACACACACACACACACTCTCAAACACACGATGCAGTTGGAAGGAGCATTTGAAGACGCACCTGGTTTGGGGGGAATGCCCCATGGCACAAGAGGCCCTGTATTCCTTTAATGTTCTGCAGTTGCATCTTAAACTCGCCATCATTTTTGAACAAGGGAGGCTGCATTTTCATTTTGCACCAGGTCCCACAAATTAGGAAGCGGTCCTGCTGGAAGATGTTGGAGAAGGGGCAGAGGAGGATAGTTAAGGGCACATCTCTAGGGCCGAAGCCCTAGTTTAGCTGCTTGCTTGTGTTATAATTTGAGGAACAAAGTAATAGTCCCGCTAAGCGTGTGGAGCTGCTGTGAGAATAAAATGAACACGTAAAGGCAGCTGGCACACAGGTGTTAAGTGCTTTTGCTTAGAGACACCCCCCCATATCCTCACACACACTGAGAAGAGGAATTTGAACCAGGAGTCAAAAGAAGGAAAGAGACATGCACTGTTTGGTTTTATTTTAGCAAAAGACCTGAAAGCTGAATTGGCAGGAACTTGCAGAAATCTGGTTTTGTTGTATGTTTTAAAGTATCTTGAATAGACCAGAAAAAGAAATGGAAACAGAGAGGAGGCTGCCCCCTGGGCCTGGGCACATGGCCCCTGCCCTTCCTCAGGTCCCCTGGGCCACCTCCCTCTGCCCAGCAGCTCAGGTGGACAAGGACACTCGTGGCTCTGACTGCATCCTGCCCTGGCGGCAAAGCATTTCCCAGATGTAGGGGACAGGTGGGGCAAGAGCCTCCCTGCAGGAGCAGAAGGTCGCCCTTAGTTTAACCTGATGCAGTGAAAGGAACCAGAATTCAGGAGATCGGAC